TGTTTCATGTGTTTCCACATAATTTTAAACCACATAGGACAACAACATAGGGTAAAGGAAGGTTACTTGAAATCAGATCCTTGAAGTGAGAGAGCTGATAATGTGACTGGGTCTTCTTAGTTTTCCAGTTTGTGAAGTGGGGGAGTTGGTTTACTGTGAGAGTTAAGTGAGATAAAACATAAAAGCACTTGGATCATAGTGGTTGGTGATGGTGTTGGTGGACAGTGGTGAGAGGGTATCAACATAAGCTGAAAGAACTCTGTGCCTTTGGACTTTCAGTAATGAAGTGACAGTCATTGATTGTCTACCTATACCCCTCAGCATCTGAAGAAAATTCCACAGAGTGAGTTTAAATACCATTATGAGAATCTGACTTTTTCCTTTAGTAACAGAAGATCATTCAAATCATTGGCCGTTTTGATCACAACTTTTGGTTGGTCTTAGAGATTTTATTAGTTTATTTTTTGATTATCTCTTCATGGTGATAATTAATTTCACTTCCTTAACATCTCTCCTGATGCTCATCTTCTAAACCTTTAAGTAGATCTTTTGCTTTCCTCTCTCTCCCAAAGTAATACTTCTTCCAGGCTGGGGAACAGTTGTTGGGTAACAGGTCAAATGTATTAATAGGCAGGCCATATGGTTCACAGACACTTTGCTCTCAACAACTTGATAGGAATTCTGCTGGTTTGATTTTTTTTTTTTAATTTTAACTGTAGAAATGTAAGTACCATCTGCCGTTATTTTTTGGTAGATGATCCTGGTAAGTTATTTAGTTACACTCTCCAAAGCAATTAGCACTGCTCTCCACAGCTTCCAGGGCAAAGCTGGGTTACTTCACTTTCATTTGTGTGTGGACTGTATGTGTCCCATCCAGATACACTGTATAAATCACAGTGGAATGGTAAAGAATAGTTCTCATACTGCTCTTCGTTATGGAGCAAATCTTGATACAGTGGTTTAGAGATTAATAGGGTAATATAGAGATTGATGCCAGGGTGGGGCTGGGGCACCCTCAAAGGAGTTGGCACTGAAGGGTGATAAAAAGAAAGCTCAGTGAAGATCTGCACTGAGGGAGTTCTGATTGGAAGACGCAGTTAATATTAAAGGCTCTGGATTGAGGAGTGAGCAGAGAGTTCAGAAGGAATTCCAGTGGTCTATGCTATAGTGAGGTGGGAGGCAAATTGAGGGAATCAGGGCTGAAGGGGATCTAGAATAAGTATAATAGGAGCCTTTGGATGTTTTTAAAGGAAAGGGAGATAATAATATCTGATTCAAAGTTTCCTCTGGCTGCAAAGTGGAAATTGCACTGTTGGGGGCAAGAATAGAAGGGAAATTGGGAGGCTATCACTGCTGTCCAGAAGAGAAATGATGGAGGCTTGGTTTAAGGGTGTGTGGATAGAAGATATGAAGAGATAGTATTTAATATATATATATATTTAAGATTTTATTTTATTTGTGCATACAGAACCGGGGTACAGGCCAGAGGCTCAGGGACGGTGAGAGGCTTCACCAGAGACAGAGCGGGGAACAGAACAGGCAGATCGACGAAGTACACTGCTGAGGGGAGCAGCGGGCGGGTCAGGAGAGGTCTGCCACGCCATGTGGTCACCTCCAGGGCAGGCGGGAATTGAACTCATGAGGAAGCGGCTTTAGATTCTCAGTGCTGTGCTTTAACCCACTGCGCCACCAGGGAGGGCCAGTATTTAATATATTTTGGATATGTAACCTACAGTCCATTAGGCATGATTACTGTCTGTGTAAGTGGCTATTTGATGGTGTAATTCTTACTCCAATATGGAGGGCTTGATGGTGCTTTTTTTTGGCCAATTAAGATTGAGATGGCTAATGGATCTCCACGTGGAAATCTCTAGCCAGTGATTTAAGTATGTGAACCAGGAGCCTATTGGGAGATGAAGACTGAAATTTTCATATAAACGATCTGAAGGTCAAGAGTGTAGATGGAGAAGACGCTGCAGTCAGACTTAAGGCATAACATCATTTAGAAGTATAGAAGACAGCAGCAAAGGATGCCAATAGAAAGCAGCCAGAATGATCAGAGAGAACAATATACTAAAAAGGTGCCTGGAAAGGAAGGTGTTTCCAGAAGGAATAAATAGTGACCTCATAATTTAGTGTCAAATGTTAGCACCCAGGATCCATGTTGATTTGTAATTCCAAGTTTATTCCATAGGTGCAAATTTAGTAATAAGTATAGCAGGCTGGGGTCCATGCCTGCCCAGTCCTCAGAAACTCAGCCACAGTGGCATCACAAACAAAGCTAGAAGGCCTTGGGAGACTGCTCTTGACCAAATGTCCATCAGGACTTTTACCAGTGCAGCAGAAAAATGAGTTTGTTGTTGCTGTTTTATTGGCAGTTATCTGCACAGCTCGCAAGACTATATCACAGGTCAGTTCTTTGATAATTACCAGTACCTAAATTCTAATTCTAAATCCTAAAATTTAGAATTCAGCTTCATCTAAAATAAACTTATAGTCAATGCAGTACATGAAAGGATACATAAAAATGCTTACATTTTTAACTGCTAATGTGTTAATCATGATAAGGTAGGTCTCATAACAAATCATTTTCTAAATTGTATCTTTTCTTGAAGGCAGCTTCTGTTTGGGAGTTAACTTCAGGTTATAGAAAATTGTTGTATTATCTGTCACTTGACAGATGAGATGATTTAAATAGAGAGTAGTGATTTCCTGCTACTTCTCTTAAAGCGAGGGTACATGCAATGTACTCCAACAGATATTTAAATCAAAGGGCAAACTTTGGAACTCTTATTTTGTTTGTACTACATATTATAACTTAACAGGTCATTTTTTCTATTGTACTGAGTACATTTTCTCTGAAAACCAAGATGGCTTATTTTGCTAATTATCATCAAGTTTGTAAAAATAACGAATTTTTAAAAATGAAGCAAAGCTGCATTTTCTTTCCAGACATTCCAATAGATGACAAATACTTAGGAAAATTCTGTAAATTGTTTTTCTTTAAGATTTATTTATTTGTGCATACAGAACTGGGGTATAGGCCAGAGGCTCAGGGGCGGCGAGAGGTTTCACCAGAGACAGAGTGGGGAGCAGAACAGGCAGATCGACAAAGTACACTGCTGAGGGGAGCAGCAGGCGGGTCAGGAGATGTCTGTTGCCTCCAGGGCAGGCGGGAATGGAACTCATGTGGAAGTGGCTTTAGCTTCTTAGTGCAGTGCTTTAACCCGCTGTGACACCAGGGAGGGCCCAAATTCTATAAATGTTTATTCTTACCTTTCACCCTCATGACATTTTAGTTGAATTTTACAAACAGATGAAGCTAATAAAGATGAAGTAGGTGGCCTGGTCTTTGGCAGTAGATTGTGGTGAGGAATAGTTTCTTGATTATTCAATCAAACACTTAGTTCACTAATTGAAGGAGACTTACTGGGAACAAAATTTCAGAAAATCACCCCTTTCTAACCTTTTAGCAGAATGACTCTAAAAACAATGCTAATGGTCCCTGAAAATCCTCCATTCTTTGCTATGATCAAATTGGAGGTAGGTCATTTACCCAACTGACTCAAACCTTTTTTCAGAAGCTACAGCTCAGGCCTTCTGCATAAAACCTTCTGTCTATGCAGCTCCAGCGTGGTTGTGTGAGTAAGTAGTAAGCCAGCCTGACAGTTGTGTACTCACTTTTGGGTGACAAGCCTTGTCCTTGGCTCCCTCTATCTTTTTGAGGGGTCAGACTGTCCTTGGGTGGTTCCTGTGGTGTCTAGAACCACGAGGAGGAGGTGCAGGGTCCAGGTGGAGGAGGTGTGGATGCTCCTCGTTACTCCCTTCTCTCCTGTCCTCCCTCTGTCATTTGGGGAAAAGGAAGATGAAGGGCCACTTGGGTGGGTGGGTTGAGGGAAGGGACAGGAGTAGGACCACCCCAAGTGAGGGGTGGTCTTGGTGGCGGATCTCCCAGGGAAGAGGCTGGATCTGTCTTACCCCGCCTTCCCCAGGACTCAGGCCGTGTCTGGCACATAAATGCCAAATAACTCCTTGCTGAGCACTGAGTGTGTGGGGTCAGCACTCTCATAGCACTGTGACCGCACATCTTCTCTTCTTGGACAGCTACTCCCTGAGTCACACCCAGGCCAGCATCAGCCAAATCCCAGAGCCTAAACCTGGGAAATCATTTGATTTGCAATACAAGAGGGTCTTCTTTGTCTCAGAAGCCTTGACCCAATGAAGGCACCATTTCTGCATGCAAGAAATCACAAGATTTCTTTTTTGTGACCAGAACCAGTAATAGCTTGCTAATAAGAGCAGGCCCTTAAATTTGACCATGCTGTCTTCCTACTGAAGGAAATCTAAGCACATACTTGAGCTGACAGGGCTCTGCAAGAACTGGCTCCACACCCCCTTTCCCACTTCTTCTCGTACCATCCATCTGGAATGTTCTCTGCTCTTCATGCACTTCAGTCTTTCTGACCCTGCAAAGCCCCAGAGGTACATGTTGAGTGGGGCTTTCTTTGCACTTTCTCTCATTGTTTTTGTCCCATTATTTCATGCCTAGGCATTTTGCATTTTCCTGTGTGTTTGCTTTCTTGCTTATTAGCTGTCTGCCATATTTGATTAAATGCATCATAGGGGCAGGACTGTTTTCTGATGTGGTCAGCATCTATCCTAGTGCCTGTCTCATTGTAAGCACTCAGAAAGTAAATGTTTGTTCAACTGAAAGAAAAGAATGTTTACCCATCTTCTATCAGGAAAAGTATTTCAAGTTAAAAAAATAAAGCAAACCTTTCTTTGTTCTTCCAGATTCTTGTCATGCAGTATACATACACATACAAAAATGCATGTGTGTTCAGACTTTAAAAATTTCCTGGTCTTGAAAAGATTCTGCCACAAGGAATAGGATTGGTGATTTAGTGCGTATGGCTTAACTACTAATAGTAGTGCTTTTTGTTTCTAAACTTCTAATGTGTTTCCTCCACCTTTTTCTTTCTTTTGTCTTTCTTTTTTAGCAAGGGAAGCCATATGTCTTTGACAGAGTGCTGCCTCCCAGCACAACCCAAGAGCAGGTTTACAATGCGTGTGCAAAGCAAATTGTCAAAGGTGAGTGCTGTTTCTTTATTTCCTCCTGCGTCTTTCAGGGTAATTGAAAACGTTAAGTGATATTTGCAGCCTAGGAATCAATGTGCCTTGACTATAAGCAGAGGCCTGCTAATTGGAAATGCTGAATTATAGTTTGAGTCCTGGTCCTGATTTGCTATGATGCCAAACAAGTTATTTAACCTCTCTATACCTCCTTTCCAAAGAGATTTCTTTATTTCTTTTGCTACCATTTTTGGCAGAGTTATTCTGTCACCTTGAAGCTTAAAAGCCAGGCAAGCTATGGCTCCATTATTTCTGTGGTGGTTTTAAAATACTGCTGCAGGTGTAGGAACTCCTTTTTCCTTTGAAGGAGAAAATACATATTCCCAATGCTTCACTAGTTTATTTTTGGGTGATATGTGTCATGACACTGTTTCTTCAGAAAGAAGTCATGTATTTGGAAAATCCTTGGGCATGAAGGAATTTTATACCACATCATTAAATCACATTACCTTATTACTATTAAATGGCTCTTGTCACACTGGCTTCCTTAACCACCCTTTCACCTAACCCACTTTCAACCACTCCACTCAAATTCTGACAGGTGTTTCTCCATACAGGTAGCCTGAAGCCCACATTGTGCCTTAGAGATCTGTCCTTTTCTCTGAGACTGGCCTCGGCCCTGCAGGATTTGTGTCAAAATAGCAGCAGGGAGATGAAACAATTTACATGATGCTCTACCCTGCCCTTTCAAATCAGGGGCAGGCTGGAGCTTGCCGTGGGGGTGCATGCCATCTGGACAGACTTGAGGGGCAGCACAGGCTACTTTGCTTTTCATCATCAAATCCTTGGCTCCAAATTTGAATGCTGGGCATTGTCCTTTTAAATATCTTAATGCTGCCATCTCGATAGCAGCTCTGGATTGAAAAAGAAAAAAGTGAAAAACAAAACCAAGAAAACCAAAAACCCAAAAGCCCAAAACAAAACCAGAAACACCTTGCCGTGTTAGATTTGCTTGCTTTTAAAAGCTGAGCTGACTAACCTATTTGAAATTCATGAAAATCAGCCCTGGGTACATCTGTTAGATTAATTCTGACCCTGGCCACCTGCGTGGGAGACTCCCGTCAGCATGTGATGTTCCTTGCTGAGATGTATGGTTATTCACATTCTGGTTGCAGACATCAATTAATTTTGAAGGTCTTCACAGTAAGATTATTATAGAAAACTGAAGAGAGAAAAATGTCTGCATTTGAGCTGCTTTTTGAATTAATGGCATGGGCCTCTATCTCCTGGCAATTGTGTTTTCTCTACTTAGGTCCTTTTGCTTCTATATCTAAATGTTTTCCTCCCTGTTTGGCATACACAGTTCTAATTTGCTTGTAGTCAGCCCCCTCCTCCCTTTATTATCAGGCTCCTCCATATTTTTATTAAAGCAAGATTAATCACACAAGGCAGGATTTCCTTTTTTTCCTCTCCCCCTTCATTAACAGAACTAAATAGTATTTGCCACATGCTGTGCGAAGCATGAAAGCCATTTAAATACATCCTACCCTTTCTGAGTTGATGTTGTAATTAGAGATGGGTGCACTCCGTTTTAAAAATTCCTGTGATTAGTAAGCAATAATAATAATAATTTTTGAATCTTTGTTCACTAGAAAGTTGGGGTCTCTTTGAACGTCTGAGTTTTTCTGCAGTATGGAATGTCAGAAACAGGCAGTATACCTGGGCAGATCTCATGCAGATGTGACCTAGTCGTGGCTAAATCCAGGCCTATTATTGATGAGCCACAAAGAAAAGCAATAAGAACGTAATTAGGCTCTGAAACAATAAACACACATCTTTCAGGCACCATAAAGAGTGTATTCATTTTGTAACAATAAAGAGTACTTCATTGTCCCTTGCCAGTAAATTCTTAGGGGAATGGTGAAAATCTGATCTCTTTTTTTGCCCCCAACCCCTCCTGATCTAACCCTTTAAAATATTCACTGAAGCTACATGAGAGAAAATGACCCTGTAATTCCATGTCAGTAAATGTAGATCGGTAAGGGTATGCCAGGTGTAGCTGAGATAGGGCATGAGGAGATCCCTTGCAGAGGAGTTCTTTGTTAGTCAGGAAACGGAGGTAATGTGCCAGGGGCCATTTTTCCTAGAGGCCAAATATTGAATAAAGTTGAAGGTCAGTGAAGACACTGTGATGTATGGTAATGTGGTGTGTGGGTGAGCTTTCTTATAAAGACCAATTTTTTTTTTGAGAGCAGGAAGATCCCTTTTAAATGGATTGATGGATTGCTTTATTCTCACTGTTTTGTTTTGCTTTTAACTTTACTGGCTGGAAAATTTTTTTTCAAATACTTGATTGTAGAGTCCTATCATCCCTGATACTCCTATCTTTGTCTGGTGTGTGTTTTACAAAATCTTTGAAAATGTAGAATTCTCCTTTTCTTATAGAAGAGGTTATATTCTTAGCATGGTAAACAGGAAGGTTCTTGTAGACACCCTAGGAATTAAAAACCATGGTTACAGCCGGCTTCTGCTGAAATATTGGTAACTGTGTCCCTGTCTCTAGAAGCCAGTCTGGGCATTTGCCTTCTAGATTAACTAGATGTAGACCCTTCAGTACTTGAGAAAGTGGTTTCATGTTTCCCAGTTCTTTTCTGTTTAAAATTCTCACATTTGGTCTCTTCTATCATTTTTTCCTTTTATGCAAGCACTGCTAGGGACTGGTATCACCAAAACGTGTTAGACTCTGCAAGAAGCTTGGTGTCGAGGAGAGAGACAGGTGCCCCTATAATTACCATGTACATGGGCTTTCTGTGCTTAAGGCAGGTGTGTGCGATGCTATTGGAGTACAGGAAAGAGTCACTGGATACTGATGTTGGTGGGTGGGGACAGGTTTCTTGGGAAGGCTGAATCATGATGACTGTAGAATATGGCAGGATTTTACAAGCAGAAATAAAGGCATAAAGATATAAATTATATGGCATGTTGGGGCACTTTTTGTGGTACAGGTTGCATGGGGCAGTCTTCAAGTTAGGCAGCAAGGAAATTCTATAAGCAACACGAGTCCATTGACGAGGTTTAAACTTCAGATTCTTTTAGATATATTTTCTTACTATTTTTCATATGACTTTTAAGACAAAAGTGTTTAGATTCTTTTATATGTCAGGTACCTGCCACATATACTTTCCATTTATATCATTGCATTTGAAATCTTTACTAATGAAATGTGAGTTTTATTCCCATGTATTACGACGGAATTTGAGGTGAAGTAACTTAGCCAAGTCAGTTAATGGGTAGTGAGGGAGACTGAAACTCAAGGCTGAGTTTCTCTGACTGAATTTTTCTGCACTATCATGCTTCCGTTTCTCTGGTGGTCCCATAATGAACATTTAATAGTAATTAAGAGTTCCTTTTCTATAAGGTCATATAGATTATGAGCAAGAAATACAAAAAGACAGGGGTAGGAATGGGCGTGGAAGAGAGGGAGGAGGGAGTGGGATCAAGATTGTGGTTCTAGGACTTTTGGGTTGTCCTGGTTGTCTATATGTAGTGAGACATGTTTGGAAAATGTAGTGTTCTATCTCTCACCTGGGCACAGTCGCCACTGTGGCTACCTTTAAATGGCTGGGCCCAGCGCTCTGGTAGTTAACAGAATTGTCTCTACTGTTTTTAGACATGGTCTATTTGAACAATATGGTCAGCTAGCAACAGCCTTAAGAAGATTTGAAGCCAGGAATGACTAATAGCCTCCATCTCACCTGGAGGTTGGTAGCAGGTGCAGCAGTCGCCTCCAGGACAGGGATATTTAGATCCGATTCTTACCTTACAGTGGAACTAATGCTTCTGTTCTGGCGGGACCTAGACTCAAAACCAGCAAAATTCAGGACAAAACCTGATTTCTGACTTTTGAAGTCTGCAAACCAGACAAGTGGTGTTCTCACTAACTGTCCTCCTCTCGGAAGTGAGAAGGCTCTTTCCACTGGCCGTGGAGTCTGCCACTGGGTTTGCTTGGCGGGCAGCTGGGTGGCTGTGTGCTGTGGGGGGGGGGGCACCACTGATGGTGTGATGTGAGCTGAGATCACATCACGCCAGGCCCTGTCACAAAGAGAGGTTCTGTCTGACTGCGCCTGCTCCCTGCTGCATGGCTGGCATGTTTACATAGTCATTTTGTTACAGCAGAGACTCTGAAACAAATGCTTTGCTCCAGCCCAGGAACTGCCATTCACCGTGATGAAAGTGCCTTTTTGTGGGCTGTTTTTGTCGGAATCAGGATGGGCTGGCGTGTGTTCTGCGCAGTGCGGCCTGTTCTCACATCTTTCCCTGATTTCTTGCGTCCTGCATTGTCCTCTCAATGGCCCAACCTAAGGACTCACAGATTTTACTGCAGGTCCCCTCCTTCCCTTCCCCCCTCCACTGGTTATCAAATGTAGGCTAGTAAACAAAACTAGAAAATTGAGATTGCTGGGTTCCATGAGCTTTTTCTTTTCTTTTAAAATTACCTTCTAATCACAATTGCCTCATGGATAGAGGGCGGCATCTGTTGGAGAGGGGTTCACCAACTGTATTTTAATTATATCATGATTAAAATACTTTAAGCACCTAAAGAAGTTTATTTGATTAGGGTTTTACCTGTTCTCTTTTTCTTGAAAAAAAAAAAAAAAAGTAGTTATATTCAGTGTTGAAACAGCAGCAATAAATAGTCAGAGGTTTTTCCAGTATAGCCCCCTGATCTGCTATATACCACTCCCAGGTCCCTGAGCCCCCAGGAGCTTGATAAGTGGTGGCCAGATAGGAGCTAACTTGGCTTGTGTGTCCTGCTTGTGAGAGTGAATTCAGAGGGATGACTGGTCTTAGGAGCCTCTAAAGCAGCCTAATGCTGAGGATCCGGCCCACTGCTTCCTGGCAGAGTGAGGAGCTTGTGCTGGGTTTCTCACTGTCAGCTGGGCTCCAGCTCTGAGCTGCATTCCCTTTAGGTGTGCAGGGTGGCTTAGACGCCCCGCCCTGGGCATGTGTGCCGTTACAGGGAGCAGAGGTTGCCAGGTGTCCTTACCCCACCCCAGTCCTCATTCCTGGATGTGGTCCCAGTGTGCTTCCTGTGCTAGGGCTGAAGGCAAGGAAGCCCTTCCAGTTTGAGGGGAGATGTTTAAGCTGATAAATAGAAGCATTAGTGCTCTGATGGTGGCCAGGATTTTGGCCATGACTATAGAATCTTAAAAGCACCACGGGGGGTGGGGGTGGGGGTGGGAGTTGTCTTTCTGTGCTTCCTTTAGAGCATGTATCATGTTCACTGTCATGTAGAAGCACTCTTCTCTGGCCACCATTTGCGGCTCAGTGAGTTTTTTCTTCAGGCAAGTTGGCATTTTCATGAACACTGAAGCTTGAACCTCCAACCCCTATAACCATCATCAAGTTTCTGCTTCCCTAGTTGCCTGGGAAACCATTACCAGAAGTCTGATATGTGTGAACATTTTCTCTTTCTCTCTCCCTCTCAGTATAGCTTGATGAAATCTCTTGAGGGCTGCTGGGATTAAAAAAAAAATCCTGTCACTTAGCTTTTCTTTTTATAGCTTTCTAAAGGAAAATCCCACTTTCTTTTCTGATCCCAACTTATACTCTAGCAGCCTCAGATCAGTAGAATATATTTGAAAAATTTGTTTAGAAAACCCATCAAAACAGCAAAAGCTAACCAGCATCGGACAAGCTAGATCCCAAATCAAAGAAACATCAGGGCCTGAAATAGATGGAGCAGATTGCCTGACTTGACATTTTTTGTATGTGGCCCTGGAGGGGATACCTCCGTGTGGGGTCCCTTTCCCAATGCTACCATTTTTAAAATTTATTTATGCATACAGAACTGGGGTACAGACCAGAGATGCAGGGGCAGTGAGAGGATTCACTAGACAGAGTGGGGAGCGGAACAGGCCGACTGACAAAAGTACACTGCTGAGGGGAACAGCGGGCAGGTCAGGAGAGGTCTGCCACGCCATGTGGTCACCTCCTGGGCGGGGGATTGAGCTCGTACTGAGGCAGCTGTGGCTCACTTGCAGTGCTGCATCCTAACCCATTGTGCCACCAGGGAGGGCCCAACTCCACCATTTTTATAAGAATGAAGACTTCCTCTCCTTTTGCAGAGATGGTGGGTCAAAGGTATTAATTATGCATTACTCCTCTTTTGGTGGTATTTCTGTGGATTGAAGGAGGGTCTTGGGAAAGCAGGAGGGAAACAAGTGCTAAATATATTTCAATTACCTTTGCTGCTTTTAAAGAATTCCCACAGCTATTCTCCAGCAAAAGCAGCCTCCGTCCATAAGCCTCCCATCCTACTCTTTCTGTGTGACGTGGGAACAGTGAGGTGTGTACTGTGTGCTTACTGTGCAACTGAAAGAAATCCCAAGGCTGATGGGCCTAGGCCATCTTGCTAGCACAATCACTGAAAAAAACAAAAACAGGCGTTAACTTTCAGTCAAGGCCTCATTGGTTCCTGGGCTGGTTGTGTGGCACAGTATACAGAGTAGAGACCTGTCCGTCCCACCTCTGTCCATCCCACCCCTGTCCATCCCATGGGAGCCCAGTCTGGACATCGTGTGAATCCATCACTGTGCGGCCCCCTAGGCCAGCATTTAAATGGGCCCAAATCAGAGCTTCTGGAAAGGAAGTTTATTGTACTGCTCCCTGTAGAGCTCATAGCCTTCTGCTCTCCTCTCCCTCCCCATTTTACTACCTGGACTGATCTCAAGAGATCACCTTTTAGAAGGAAACAGGTACGTTTATTAAAAGAAAAAAAAGCATACTGTTGGATTTGATCTTGACTTAGGTGTTACAGGGAGAAAGTGTGTTTCCTTCTTCATTAATATTTTCGGTAGGAATGTGAGTCCATTCCTATTTATGGACCTATGGAGGCCCTCACTTCTGTTTTTAATCTCACCATTCTACTTAAAATGCAAATGGGGTTGAAATATATCATTTGTCTGAAAAATGAGATGAACCGCTTGGAAATGTAATTTTAAAATATGCAACCAATGCTAGTACATGATTAAAGTAATGAGTTAATTTCCACCCTTCCTTGCAGATGTCCTTGAAGGCTATAATGGGACAATTTTTGCGTATGGACAGACTTCATCAGGAAAAACGCACACCATGGAGGTAAGATTGCAATGAGCTGTGGCAGTCTTGGATATGAATTGACCTGCTGTTGCCAGTGAAACTTGAACTGTGCGAGGCATTTTTACTGGTGATAAGGGGGTGGTTATGTTTGGCCAATTTATTGCATCCTTGAGGACTTCTAAAATAGAAGCAAGTAATAAAATCTTGGGCGTTTGCATTAAGAAAAAGCCTTTGTTGAGAGCACTATCCAAATAGTGGTAATATATTCAACTAAAAAATTGGCATGGGGGGGCAAGAAGAGAGTGGGGACTGGGCTATGGTGGAAGATTTTGGGTGAGAGTGCTAGCACACTCATGACTATACTTCCAAAATAATACTTAGTAACAGTATTATTTAATACAGCGACCAATGGTATTTCAATAAAGAATTAATTGGAGGATTGTTAATAAAGAGCAAATAAAACAAAAATGACAGGGACATGCAGTTTTTTATGTGACTGTTGGGTGGACGCAGTCCACTCCATGTACACGCTGAGCAATAGGCACCTGTACTCAACATCTTCCCTCTGTCCCCTGTGGGCATTTGAGGGTGTCACCCCAGCTCAAATTACTGGCTGTGGGGCTCTGTGCTCCAGGCTCTCTTCCAGATAAGGCCACTCAACCGACTGAATTGGCCTCCTTTACATATTCTTTTCCTGCCCTTTTAATTTTGGATACCTCTAAGGTCTGCAGGGTTGGCTAATTCTGTCAGGTGAACTCACCTGACAGGTAAGGAGAGGTGTAAGAGTGGTTATAACAAGAAAGTGCACAGAGGACAGCTGGGGAATTTAGCTGAATAAGAGCAGACTAAGACAAATCCTTAATCCCTCCAATTTAGGGTTTTCGTTGATGGTGCTCCCCTGGGACTATGCTTGTGATGGCAGCTGCACACTCACTTTAACTTATGAATCATTCCTATTGAAGAAGAGATTTCAAAGGCACAAGGGTAAAATCTTCAGGGCTCTGACATTCTGCTCACATTGATTTCAAGTGTGGGGTGCCACGCTGGGGGATCTCATTTCTCTTGTGTTGACTCACTCATTTTGTTGGAGACAAAGTAGTTCAGAGACTGCACACCTGACACCAGGTTTATTAGCCACCTCTTCTTCAGCAAAATACTTTTCCCCTGAGAGTGGGTGTCACCGCGCCCGCACCTCACATCCTACTGCATTCACCTTGGAAACCCGGCTGCAGGAGTCCCCACACTCCTGCTCTGGCCACCCACCTGCCTCTCTTATGAGGCTCCAGATCCTTAACCTTCTAGGTGCTAGAAGAGCTGCAGTTATACATTTACTGTATCCCAAGACCTCCACTAGCCATGGACAAAAACTCCTTCATGGGTCATAAGGGACAGACAGAGCATCTCATGAGGCTTTCTGTGAGCCTCTAGGTCTTTGGAAAACTAGCAAGCAATATCTACAACAAGAACAAAAATCGCAGTGTTTAAAATTCTTACAAGAGTGACCTTTCTATCATTGGGATTAATTCATCTTTGAGAATTATAAGGTATTAGTTAAACATCAGATCTTTAAATTGTGAACCATTTGACGAGAGTCTTGTGCCTAGAGTAAAATCTGTTTTAGGTGGATGGGTGGATGTAAGGAGATGACAAAGAGGTATATCAACTTGTGAAAACTAAACCCAGAAGCATTTTATTAAGTGAGATCATCTGGTGCCTCACCGGGTACCCTCCACAACCCCCACAGCAGAACTTCTACCTAGGGGGATTCCTGGCAACCTAAGGGGGACTCAAAATTGCCTAAATTCTGTCATCTCTTCACCCTTATCAGTTTAAAAAAATTGATTGCAATGAGTTTTTCTTTATTGCGACTTTTGAAGATCACACATTTAGGGTAGAGGGAGAGTTTTCCTGGGGTGTTACCCCCTACTTTATCTGGTTCTTTCTTTAGGGTATTTATAGATTGGAGAAAAGGTAGGGGATATTTTAGAGGAAATCAGAGGGAAGGCAGAACCCCAAGCTGAAGTTACAGAGACTGTAGGAGACCAAGAAATACAGGACCCTGGAATGCAATTAAATTTTAAAAACCCTGTGGAGCTTACACCATCTAAAGAGGATTTTATGTATTCAGAATTACACATGGTGATTTTCAAAGGCTTTTAGAAGGGGATGTTAACTCTGAATGGACGGAGCTGTCACATTTTAAAGTTGTTTTTCATTTTAATCCCCCCATTTTTTGTCTGACATCCAGTGGTGATTCCATTACCTTCTATTGAAGGGAACAAACAGATAAGCCTACATAAAATTGGAAAGGTTAGCTTCTGAAGATGGAGTATATAAGGCAGATTTTCAGCAAAAATATGAAACACTCAACAGTGTTGGTGCTAAGCTTGGCAGGACATGGTTGCAACTGGGCTGAGTGTTCATGCAGCTATTGCTTACAGGCCTGGCTTGAGGAAGGATGGTGTGTGTGTGGGGGGGCGGTGGCTGGCCCATTGTTCAGTGTGTGAGGCTGGGCTGGGCTTGCCCACACCCTGTCCTCACTTTGCCTACTATTTCAGCAAATTCATGCAGTTAGATAGAGGGTTGGGGTGGGGGAGAGACACTTGTTTTTCGTCTGTCCAAAGAGACACCTGGACGCCATCTAAAGCATACAGGCTCCCTGTCTTCCAGCCCTTCTCACCCCACTAGCCAAGCCAGCCAACAGATTTTTAATGCATTGGTGCTCCTGTGAGCTGACAGGTCACCTACTTTCCCATCAGGACACAGTACACAGTACTCAGAAGGTAGAGGACACAACTGTGGCTACAGCAGAATGAGTGTTCAGTGATCAGTGGCCTGGTCTGGCTTCTTTTTTCATATGTGCACCCCATTCACAGGCAGGAAAGTTTCTGAAGAGTATTATATAGGATGCAAAGATAAAAGAGGTGATGAAGTGATGCACTCCTTGCTACTTAAGTCCATCTGGCCCTCCAGCCAGCTAGACCTGGCACCATGTTCTGAGTGGGCATTGTTCTTGTCCAGGACCTGCACCTCAATTGCATTACTCTGCTTTCATCTTCTCTGCCTACATCCTGTGTTTAAGCTCATCTTGAGGGAAGAGCTAAATCTTACTCATCCCTCAAGATTTGGTGTTCCTCAAGGAAGCCATCCATGTTTGAAGGGATTTTTCTGTTTTCTGAATTCTGTTATTGTTTCTCTGCTTCTGTTTTATCGCCTGAAGGATTTGTGTAGTGGGTATTATGTACATGTGTGTTTCATTTGCAAAGGTGAGTAACACAGAAGCAGTGAAGACCTTCACATACACTTACATCCCTCCTCCCACTACATTCTCATCAGAAGAATCAACACCTTATATACACCATATGTCACACTCACCTTATCACACATCCCCCATACCACACACACAATAAACCCACCCCACCACACATCTATACCACATCCATACTGCATAACCCATATCACACATTGCAATACCACACACATCCATGTCACAAACCCCATGCCATACACTTCAACACATACACCGTACACAACACCCTTCCAACACCAGACCCATCAATACTATATACACCCACGTAATAGACGACACACACCCCCCACATGTATAGGCACACACACTGTTTTGCAGGCTCAGTTTACTGAGCATAAACACCCTCCTCACTCTTGAGCTTGTGAGCTAGATCAAGGTTGTAGCCCCTCTGGTAGAGTTGGTCCTCACTTTTGTGATTTTTTTCCCTTCCCCAAATGAATATGTCCTTTGCTCTCATATGAAATAGTTGGGGTAGTTGCGGCAGGGAAACAAAACAGGGAGTGCCTAGATTCTCCTCTAGTTGTGCCTTGGGTCCTCTCCTGACAAAGGCAAACAAAGATTGTCAGTGTTTGTGGAAGCCAACGATCAATTGGAAGGTAAATCTGTTGAAATGAGAGCATCTAAGGAACCAAATTTCAGTCAATTATAATGATTTTGGATTACTAGTCATTCTTTGGCCCTGGACTACTGAGGAAGCAAAAGGATTATGATGAATTATTAAAGAACTTTAGGCTTCCCTGGTGGCGTAAGGTTTTAAGTCTCAGCGCTATGAAGCTATCACTAGCCACTGCACAGGAATTTGATCCCTAGTCAGGAAGCTGTCCCATATGGTGCAGCAGACTGCTCCTGTCTTGCCCACTGCTCCCCTCAGCAGTGTATTTCAGTCAACCTGCCTATTCTGCTCCCCACTCTGTCTCTGGTGAATCCTCTCACAATCCCCCTACCTCTGGCCTACACCCCAGCTCTTGTATGCAAACATAAGTAAATCTTAAAAAAAAAAAAAATAAGGCTCTGGAGAGGTGTGCAGGGAACACTAGGGTTTGGATTATCCAGTGGCGTCGCCACAATTGTCTAGACAGAGATTAGTTTTCACTGGGTATCATTTCTGTCAGCAATTTCCACAATCCATAGCACATGGTCAGTGTTTGAGTTGTTGCATGTTTATGTTGGCCCATTGGTTGTAAAGTTGCTAATATTTGAGACTCAGTCTCACTCATTATGGTGCTGTATGTTAATGATCTGAATAGAAATGTGTTTTCAGACTCTTCAGGTCAAATAGACACTCAGCTGCTTAATGAAAACCTGTAATGAACTGAATAACAGAATACTAATTTACTGTGACTAACTACCTTGTTTATACCATTTAACTTATATTCTACAACTTTGTGCAGTAGATAAGACATGAAATGTCATAGACAGTGAACAAAATACATACGTGCTGGCCACTCCTACCTTAGGGAATATGCATTCAAACTAAAACATCAGTATAAACACACATGATGTCTTGAGCTTCATGCACTGGGGCACACCGAGGAGCTACCCACTTTCCCAGGAGAGGGTGTTTTGCTGATGACCAGATTTATCAGAATTCAACTTTTCTCTTGTTTTTAGTAGAATAGAAGTTCAGCAATCAGGTATGTGAAAATGGATTTGTAATGTAAACTGCTTGTGGGCTGTAGTTAACATCAGAGTTCATGTGAATTCTTGCTTTTGATAACTCAAACATTGTCAACTTGTCAGGGAGAAGATTTGCTTTAAAAAGATTTGATTGGGGAAAACAAAGCAGACCTTCCATGGATTGGGGCAGTTAGGAATAAGGACTTGAATCAAAGCCATGAAGTTTGTTGGGCATCCCTGTAGGATTAAAGGATAAACTGAGTTTTCTGTCGTTCTTTCAATTCCATTTGTTCCTAGAGTTTTATAATGTCATGACAAGCTGGAAATTTCTCTGGGAATACATTTGCTGATCCCTTAGGACATGTAGACTTATGTGTGAGTGTGTGTGCATGTGTGTCTGATGGATTGTTTAACATATAACAGAATTTCAGCGTTCATTTGAGTGTGGGTATAAAGAAGGCTCTGGAAATTTTGTACTTAGGTCCATGGGAAGACCTTTGTTTTAAATACTTTCGAAATCTTTGCCTTCCCTGTTGGCACAGTGTGTTAAAGTGCAGCACAGCACTGAGAAGCTGGCCGAGGCCACTTTGGTGAGTGTTCAGTTTCCATCCCAGATTTCCATCCATGGCACAGCAGACCTCTCCTCTTTTGCCTGCTGTTCCTCTCAGCAGTGTACTTCATCGATCTGCCTGTTCTGCTCCCCACTCTGTCTCTGGTGAATCCTCTCACCCCCCTGCACCTCTGGCCTGTACCCCAGTTATGAATGAATAAATAAATCTTAAAACAAAACAAAACAAAACAAAACTGAAATCTTTAGGAATTGTTTTCGGGCCTTATGGCAAGTTTTTGAAAGTCTTAATAGGTGGCAAATTCTGGATATTAAGAATACAGTTAGTAATTTTTTTTTAAAGATTTATTTATTTATGCATACAGAACTAGGGTACAGGCCAGAGGTGCAGGGGTGGTGATAGGATTTACCAGAGACAGAGTGGGGAGCAGAACAGGCCAATTGATGAAGTACACTGCTAAGGGGAGCAGCAAGCAGGTCAGGAGAGATCTCCCACGCCATTTGGGTCACCTCTGGGGTGGGGATCGAACTCATGTTGAAGTGGCTTTAGCTTCTTAGTGCTGTGCTTTAATCTGCTGTGCCACCAGGGAGGGCCCAGTTAGTATTTTTAGGAATTAAACAGAATTCATTTATCCTACCACCTGTAAGTAAGTTGGAAGTAGAGGGATAAATGTGGCTGGGAACAATAAAAGAATATACCAAAAGTGGGTTTAAGTTTTGGAAACAGTCAAAACTCATTCAGGCTGGGAATTACTGATTTTAAAAAGAAATTGACATAACAGATTTTCATGGTTGAATTTTTACAGTGATGCTGAAGGTATTGCTTAGAAATTTTTGAACGATGACACTGCTGAAACTATGGCACTCAGCGCTCAAGGTGATTCTGTTAAAGTCGATGATCTTAGACTTGTTGGTTCTGGTCAGTTTGTGAAAATCAAACCCAGAAACATTTCATATGTTGTAGCGCCCATAACTTCTCTGTCCTCTTGCTTGCCCTGTTCCTGCTTTTCCATCCACATATCCACATTCCACACTGATTTCCTGCCCTGAGTGGTAGCAGCAGGGAAGCCCGTGGAGCTTCAGAACTGCAGAACAGGTGCAGCTTGCTGAGAGCAAGTTGAGTTCCTCTGCTGACTGCTCTGCTGTCCTGTCAGGCGGCTCTCTGAAACTCCCTGGCATGTGAGGTGGCTCTCCAAGGGGGCAGACTGCCACTGTGTGGGCACCCCCGCTGCACGAACCCCAGATGCAGCCCCTCTGTCTCTCACATTTCCCTGCAGCACTCTTGAGCTCCCCTGTGTTTTTCACTCTCTAGGGGAAGCTGCATGACCCTCAGCTCATGGGGATCATCCCCAGGATTGCACACGACATCTTTGACCATATCTATTCCATGGATGAAAACCTGGAGTTTCACATCAAGGTACGTGCTGTGGATTGAGCCCAGGAGAGGAACTGGGCCCCTCATTGCCTTCCTCTTAGTGCACAATGTAAAGCGTGATTTTATCTAATTCAAGGAACATCCCTGAAGTAAGCACAACTACATTTACTATTTAATGATTAAGGAAAAAGTTAGCTAGATTATTTGCTTCTAAGTATGGAGATAAAGTAAAGTCCTTCTTAGCGTGGGAACATGATGGTATATGCCTGTGGGTTTCTGTGGCTATGACTGGAACGTGTAATGAATCAGGTTAGGTCAGCATTTCCCATAGCCTGTTTCATGAAACACAGGCCCCCATATTATCAAAAGGTGGGTGACCAGGGAAAAGGTTTAGGTGGCTAAATGAGAAAAATCTCTGTTGAACAACGATAGATTTATCACCAGCTTACATATACTACTGTGTAATGTAATTCCACAAAAGTGGGTGTACAGTATATTACATCACCCACTTATTTGACTTTGGACATATTATTGCCCTTTGGCGTTTGACAGTCTAGAGTTTTGAGGAGCACATTCAAGAGTCAGGGATAGGAATTCTCCTCATCTTTGTTTTTAAAACCAGAGCTTATGTTCTGGTTTAAATTTGAATTGAAAGAGATTTCTATTCTTTAAACTGCAGCTCTTGATTCATCACTTTTGCTATTAGGGGTACTTTCCTAGGAACTCCTTTGTTTGCTAGTGACTGAAAACCACTTGTTTAGGCAAATAGAGGAAGTTGCTGTAAGATACAGAATCTGATAGCAGGCATGGGGCGGGCTGTGGAGGTGCAGGACGTCTTGCCCTGCTTTCCCTTTTATTTTCTAATTTAAAACAATGAGATGTAATTTACAGACTCTAAAATTCACCAAGAGTATGCAATGGAAAGCTTTTAAATATATTCCCCAAATTGTATTACCATGAGCACTATCCAATTACAGAACATTTTCATCACCCCTCACAAAGAAGCTTCATGCCCTCGACAGCCTGTGTTTCTGCTCTCTCATTTTGTTCCTTATTGCAGACCATCTTTCTCTTTTGGGGAGGGGCAGGGATAGGAGGATAGGGTGGTGAGAAGACAACCCCAGGGCAGCTCCACATCCCCTTGTTTCTAATTATTAATTCCCCAGGAAAGGGGCTGAATGGCCCAGCCCAGAGAATGTGCACACTGGCTCTAGTGTGCACAGAGCTTGCTGGGTCCGCATTTGGGGCTTGGGAAGGGGTTGGCACGGGGTGAGGACAAAGGGGCTGTTCTATAGTAAGACTAAGAGCTGAGCGGGTCAGCTGGGATGCAGATCGGCCTTTGAAGCTGGGACCTTAGTGTTCCTTCATGTGTATCATTTTAGAGAGAAGATGCCAAAGTTCAGAGCCATAACCAGATGGTCAGAGTTCCCTCGCAGTCACTGGCAGAGCTGAGGTTGGACACTTGATCTGACCAGTCCCACAGACAGTACCTTTTTCATTATATTAAACTTCTACTCTTCCTTATTTCTGCTACTCTCCTTTCCTAAATATGAAAAACAAGGCAACAACTCTTAGTCCAATCATAAATTACAACTGGCAAGACATTCTCCTCGCAATTCCCTTTGTCGGCTAAAGCCAGCTTCTGTTCAGTTTAGGAGGCTAAGCCTCCTTGCCCAGGCTTCTTTATATCTGAGGATGCAGAAGCTTGTTGCTTTGATGGAATCAAGATTTAGGAGCTTAGTGCATCTTTAAGGCTGTTTGCATTTAAATACCTTAAAATACTGGTGGGTTCTTATGGGATAATCCTGGAGTAAGATGTTAAACCAATTACTGCCCTCAAAATAGGGTCCTTTATTAGAATCGTGTTAAGATAAAAATGTAGCAGCCTGAAGGGGGAGGAGAGAAGAACTCCCAAGCCTCCAGGGCTGACTCCTACAGTCTGGCTTCCTTTGCATTTGCAGTCTGTGCTCACTTATTTCATAAGTAATAATTGCAACTGGGCATGTTCGCTGTGACTACTTTGTATATTTTAAGGTGAATAATGGCAGGTTTAATCAAGAAAAAGAAGCTTGATTAAGGCAATATGGCAAATCTGTTCCTTAATTGATTCCCATGGTGGCTTTAAACATTATTTCTGAGCATGCTATTTCTTAATGTCAGACAATGCCTATTTATTTCTCTTCCACCTGGCCTCATAAAGAATTCGATGGCAGAACGGTAACAAAACAAAGCCCCTTCCAACCAAGCAGAATGCTATGTGAATAGGATTATAATGACAATTGCTAACACCTAGAGCATGACTGTTTAAGTATAAATACTTTTCGTTGTCATCTATGTTTAAAATCTCAAGGAAAACGGAAAAGTCTTAAAGAAAACTCACAAATAAACAGAATGAGTTGTAACCAGGGCTGCACTGGCTGCAGAAGGTCTGGTTTAGCAACATCTGAGAGGCCAAACACACCCTTAGGATCCTGGTCACTCCGGGGCAGTGGGTCTTTGGAAGGGCAGTCATAGTGTCTGTGGTAGATGAGGCTGAGTGTTGGGGGGCGTCTGACAGGCCTTTGGAGGCAGGGGTTGTGGGAGTGATGGAATCAGATTCCAGGGCTGGAAGCCAGGTCTGAGACTCGGAAGTTCCAGGCTGAGCCAGATAAAAGATAACGAGCCAGGATTGAGCTGAGTTAGGACTATTGTTGGGTTTGATGGTGAGTCTTCACTGCCCCTAGCTAGAGGCAGAACAGCCACAGCTACAATGTAGGGATGTGTTTTCACATACAGTCACACCCAAGCTTGACAATTTTTTTGAAAATTGACAAAAATTTTTTTGAAAAATTTTTTAATTTTACTTTTTTGTCTGTTCAAATTTTTAAAAATCTTATGAACAAAGAGGAAGAGAAAAGTTGATCTGAGAGAAGGCAAGTGTGGACAGAATGCAGATTCCTAGAGTGAACTTGTCACACGATCAAGTCACAACTGAGGCCTAGGGTCTTAGTTACATGTGAATTACTCTCCCCAAGAGCACCTACCTAAAGTTGGCCTCAGGTGTCAGCAAGCATAGAAGTCACCTGGGGAGTTTAGAAGTCAATTCGTAGGTCCTGCACCTGGAGAACCTGATTCAACATACCAGTGCAAGTGTTCAGGGCTTACAGTTTAAACAAAGGCTCTGAGAGATGCTGATACAGATGGTGCTGGGGCCGAGGCTGTTGAGAATAATTTACTGGAAGGTTTCCTTTCTCTCTTAGAGTCTAAATTGTGTTTTACAAAATTATACTTTGTTCAGGTCCTTCCTGGACTCTCCAAGACTTCTTAGACTCGCCAGCACCAGTTCTCTTCTGTTTACCTTTCTGAGTTCTCTGAGTTCCAGGCATTTATACCCTCACCCTCTCCCCACGCTTGCATCATGCTCTTCCCTCATCGCATGAGGCTGTCAGTGGCATGTGTAAGGTGAAGCCGACTGCTCGACTGTTTTTTTACAATTACTTGCACACTTGCACAGGATGTTTTTTGTTGCCGCCGTTGTCACATCTGGAAGTTTGTTTGCTGATCCTGTAAGGGAAAAGCTAGACTTCCCCTCTAAGTGGTAATTTAGCACCTGAGGCACACGTGTTGTAAATAAGAGTTAAATGGAGCCATAGGCAGCTGCGATGTGTGGGGATGGAGGTCGGGACCCACAGAGCAAGCGGATGAGGCAGAAAGCAGGAGAATCCAGGAATGCTGCCTGGAGTCTGCTCCAGGCAGACTCTTCTCATTCTTCTTAGCCGTGCATGCCAAAAGCTTCTGTAAGTTCTAGTAATGACATTTTGGAAATACAGCATGATGTGTCTGTTTCAAACTTGATTTGTTTTTAACCAGGTTTCCTATTTTGAGATCTACTTGGACAAAATCAGGGACCTACTTGATGGTGAGTGACCTGAATGCTGGTCTTCAATTTATTGTTTAACAAAAGTTCAGGGAAGTTGCATGATTTGTAGAACTTCTGCTGAAGGTATTAATGAAGTTTAATAGAGATATTCTGCTGCTTTCATTCTGTCAGCTTATTCTTAGCCAAGACTCAGACTTGCATTTTTAGTTAATCTGTTTATTCTCAGCCAAGACTCAAACCTGGGTTTTTGAAAAATCTAATCTAAGAGATTAGATTTGCCTGTCTCCTGTAACAATTTCTATTTTCCTCCATTACAGGGTCTTTAACTTTTCTTTTCTCTTCTTCTTTGCATGTCATCATTATCAACTCTGTAGTATCTAAGACAAACTTGGCTGTTCATGAAGATAAAAATAGAGTCCCGTATGTAAAGGTATGAGGATACTTGATGGTATGATGTATTTCTCTCCAGCCACTGTCATTGAAATTATTACATAAGATGCCCAGAATATTACCTAGTTATATTAGGTAATACAAAGGTAAACTACCCATTTACCTTTCTGAACTCTCTTAGTTCCAAGCATTACTGCCCTTAGCAATAATATGCCCACAAAGCACTCACAGGTATTTAGTCCTATCTTCTTAAATTTAATATTCATCTGATTAAAAAAAAACCTTTAATTTCTTAAATTGTATCTCCCTATGTAAGTGTGCCAGAGATGCTTGATTACATAAGGTCAGAATTACAGAAATGGGCAGACACTTGTTATTCACACTGAATTGTATTGAATGCAGTTCTGTAGGGGAAACATCCCCATAGCATTATGTTTAGAACTTCGAGTGCTTAATTGAAGTTGGTTTTTAGAGTGGTAAGTAAATAAATAAGTAATGAATACATAAATATGGAAAGTAATGATTTTAATTATTATTTTCTGTGTTCATTGCTGTTGAATATAAATATGTCCTTAAAAATTCCTTTATGGTTTACTTCCAGATTTGATCAGACTTTTTAATACAGAATTTAAGCAGTATGTAGGCAAAGTTGTTGGATCAACATTACAACTTTTTTTCTTGATCTTACTCTAGAAGAAAAATGGTACAGTGTTTAGCTCATTCAAAATATTCTTACTTTTCAGAGGGACATGGGATCAAAAATGGGGTGGGAAGGATGCCTGGAACTATGGTGATGGCACACGAATGAATTGGTGGTGGGAAGTCTACATGCACAAAATGATAATGATGTAAAAATAAATTAATTAGTTAAAAAAATTCTTGCTTTTCAAATTTTTAATATTGAACCTCAACTGATTGTCTTCTAGGGGTGCACCGAGCGGTTTGTGTCGAGCCCTGAGGAAGTCATGGATGTGATAGATGAAGGCAAAGCAAACCGCCATGTGGCTGTAACAAGTAAGCTTGGTGGTGGTGCTGTTTCCTTTTGTCCTATAACTTAGGATAAGTGTCTGCTTATTAACAAGAAGGGTGAGTTGTAGGGTCCAACTGAATTATGCGTAGGAAGGCACTTGGAAAACGGGGGCTTGTGCAATACAGGTGTATGTAGGCAGATCAAGGGAAATAGTGTCTTCTATAGTCAGAGAAATTCTTGGAAATGTTGAGTGAGACATTTAGCCTAATGGTATCAGCTTAAGCCTGAATACTGGGGAAAACAGACAACCAACCAACAAAGGAGGGGGCGGGGGAGTAACCTACTAAGTTTATTTTAATCATGTTATTACTCAGGCTAAAAATTCAACCAGCAAGTTTTATAAGCCAATCTTACGCATGGAAAGACACCATGTTATATTACTGCCCTCTGCAAAGAGGGAACTCAAGAAGCAGTGCTGGGAGCTTTATTATAAACTTTCTAATGCTGTATCAATAAAAGAAAAAACACCTTCAGATCAGCTTGTTTACCTTGCAGTTCCTTCCTCAGCCTGTGCACACTTCTGGGGAAGCACCAGGGTTTGTCTTAGACACAGACAAATGAGAGTGAGTTCATATGAAGGAAGTGTTCACTTGAAAGAGCTAAGGATTTCTAGGTTGGAGGAGAGAACCAGGAAGTTCATGTAGACAATTCAATATTTCTTAAGATGTTCAGAATATCAGCACTGAGAAAGAGGGTTAATTTGCATGGGTAGGCCACAGAGAGTCACTGAATCTGTCAGGAGGTAGATTTTGACCTACTTTGAGAAGAACATTCTAACTCTTGTAGCTGCCCCATGTAAAGTCCGCTACTTGGGGAGGAAGTAAGTTCCCTGTATACTGTAGAGGAAATTCAAGTATTCACTGGTTGATTAGTCATATTTGTTAAATCTCTTCCACCCAAAGTTCTGTGACTCAGTGATTCAGACCTGAAAGTTGAATAGATACTCAACATTTTTTCTATTCCCAAAACCTTGTGTGATGATATTCATTTATGCGGCAAATTTCATAGGTGATATTAAGCTTGTATTAAACTCTTGATTCTTTTTGCTTAAAATAAACATAATTGAAAGGATGTAAGAATCCTCTGATAGTAATATATCATTTTTTTAAAAAATAAGATTTATTTACTTATACATACAGAACTGGGGTACAGGCCAGAGGTGCAGGGGTGGTGAGAGGATTCACCAGAGACAGAGCAGGGTGCAGAACAGGCTGACTGATGAAGTACACTACTGAGGGGAGCAGCAGGTGGGTCAGGAGAGATCTGCCATGCCACTTGGGTCACTCCTGGAGCAGAGATGGAACTCATGCTGAAGTGGCTTTAGCTTCTCAGTGCTGTGCTTTAACCCACTGAGCCACCAGGGAGGGCCCTAAAATGTATCTTTTTATAAAGAGGTTATTCACTTGGTTTCTTAAGCTATTCATTGTCACAAATTCTTCATGGCATACCTGACAACTGTCTTAGTCCCCAAGAACTTTTGGTTCAGAATATTGCTATTTTTCTTACTTTGGTAAGGTACTTTTAAAAATTATTGTGAGAAAATATATATAATATAAATAATATAAAATTGATCTTTTTAACCCTTTTTAAGAGTATTAATTCAATGTCATTGAATACATTCACAGTATTGTACAACCTTAACAAATATTTTCAAATCATCCCGAAGTTCTAATTCCATACCCATTGGACAATAACTTCCTATCCACTTCCTAAATCTTGGCAACCACAGTTCTTTTTTTTTTTTTTTAACTCTAAGAATCTAACAACTTATGCAAGTAGAATAATACTGAGTTTATCCTTTTGTGACTTTTAATTTAACACAACGTCTTCAAAGTTCATTCATTGTTGTAGCATGGTCAAAAGTTTCTTCCTTTTTAAGAAAGGTAGGATATTGCGTTTTGTGGAATTTTGTTTATTCATCCTTATATAGACATTTGGGTTGATTTCACCTTATGGATGTTCTTAATCATGCTGCTATGAACACAGGTTAAATCATCTGTCCATTTCTTCCAGTTCTTGTGTATATGTACCTTGAAGGAAATATTTCTACCTTTAATCTTTTGAGGAAATTCCATACTGTTTCATATAACAAGTACCCCATTTTAGAGTTCTACCAATAATGTGTAGAAAAGTTGTGCTTTCTCCATATCCACCACAACAGTTCTTTTTTTTAAAGATTTACTTTATATTTTTATGCATACAAGAGCTTGGAAGTAGGCCAGAGGTGTAGAGGGGGAGCGAACTCACCAGAGACAGTGGGGGATAGCACAGGCCGAGTGACCAAAATACACTGCTGAAGGGAACAGCAGGCAAGACAAGAAAGGTCTGTTGGGCTCTGTGTATTAGCTCCCTGGCATCGGAGATCCAGCTCATGCTGCAGTGGCTGCTGATGGCTTCATAGTGCTGAGGCTTAACCCCTTGTAGCACCAGAGGGCCCACAGCAGTTTTTTATTTTTTATATTTTTGCAATAGTTATCTTAATGATCATCAAATGGTATCTCACTGTGGTTTTGATTTGCATTTCTTTAGTAATGAGTGATGTTCATCATCTTATTGGCCATTTCATATCTTCTTTGGGGAGATGTCTGTTCAAGTCCTTTGCCCATTTTAAGTTGGGCTATTAAGTTGGTTAGTTCAAAATATCATTTCAGTACCTTTTCAGATCTGTGACTTGTAAATAACCATCACCCTCTCATTGTGTAGGTTGCCTTTTCACTTTGTTGATAGTGTCATTTGATGCATGAAAGTTTGTAATTAGTGTACCTGTTTTTCATTCGGTGCATGTACTTCTGGTGTCTAGTCAAGAAATAACTGCCAATTGTAGTGTCATGAAGTTTTTCTCCTATGTTTTCCTCTTAAGGTTTTGTAGTTTTAGCTTTTACAGTTAGATCATTAGTCCTTTTTGAGTTAAGTTTTGTGTGTGGCCTCTCAACCTTGAAATGAAATAGCAAGGTCTTTTACTAATCAAATTGAGTTTATTTGGAAATAGCAGAAGGATTGCAATCAGCTGTGGCAAAACATGGGCTTGCCCAAGGAAGCAGAGAAGGTTGGCTTTTATTAGGTTTTAGGAGGAAATTGGACAGGGCTGTTTTGAACAAAAGTTAATTGAGAGTTTGAGGCTGTGGCCATTTCTCATTGGCTGCAGGTGGCAGGCAGTTTGTTGTTGCTGGGCTGGGACATCTTGTGAGCTGCAAGGGGTAGGTGCTCGAGAGTCTTCCCTTTATAGCTTCAGGACTCCATTTTGAGTCAGGTTTCCTTTACTTAGCTTCACAGGCCTCCTTCATTTTCTTTTTCTCTTCAGATAACCTGGTAAAACGGTTTTAAGAAATGATAACTAGTGGACAGCCACTCTGCTACTTGGTTAACAAAGACTAATGTTGAAAAATATTTTCATTTTCTGTGCCCCATCCTAATAAAACATATTCAGTCTTTGAGATCTTCTATGCACCTTCTATGTGTTATAGAGCAAGTCTTTCCTTAAGAAAAAACAGTAGTACTGATAATCAAAAGACTTGCATGTGTGAAGAAGGTGAGAAATGCATCAGCTGTTAATCTTGATGATAAAGATGGGGGACTAAGTGAGGCAGGAGAGCATGCTGTGAGCTCCAGAAGGAGAAAGTCAGGCTGCAGTAGGATTTGGGGGCTTGGGTGATATAGGCGGAGCTAGGGAATCTCTTATCTTAAACCAGTGACTAAATTTTTAGAATAATTTCTTTGTATTTAAAGACATTTAAGTCTTTCACTTCTAGAATCAGGGTAGTTTTTAAGATGAAACGGTGGCCTCAATTTTTAAAAATGGCTGGACTGACTTAAAAAATGGAACTATTAGACATGATTTGTTGTGCTTTTTACATAAGGGTTTTGCTACCTAAATTTGTGTTCTCTGCAGAGCAGTAAACTATTTTCCTTTTCAGACATGAATGAGCACAGCTCTAGAAGTCACAGTATCTTCCTGATTAATATTAAACAAGAGAATGTAGAGACTGAAAAAAAACTCAGTGGGAAGCTTTATCTAGTTGATTTGGCTGGAAGCGAAAAGGTAATTGGTTCTTTATTTGTATTATCTATAATTTTCCCCCGTTACTTGCTTCAGTGTGCAATGGTATAATTTTTATGCCTTTCTACTCCCTGCTTTTAAGGAGCTTTTAAAGTTTCTGATGTTGTGCCAAGATGTTATTAAATTTAACCTTCGTTTCCCAGCTCTTTCTTTTCTGGTCCTGAAGTTTCGTATTTGCGTCACAGGAGGTATTTTGAATGTCAATGCTGATTTATACCTAACAGGCAATGATGATGACATTAGGTAAATATAAGTGTGAACAGAGCATGGCGAAAGTAGCTGGGCAAATGTAGAGAGACATCATGAACTTGTGAGAAAAGGAAAGATTCCCATGTTGTACAGACTCCCATGTTGTACAGACACAAACAGGGCTTTGCCGTTGGAATCTGCAGGCTGTTTGCTGATAGAAGATCTGGAGCTGGTCTCTCTCTATATTTCCTATTTGCTTTTATAGTAGGCATCGACTGGTGTGTCTAGTGTGGCTCACCTCTCTTATTTTGGTCTTTGAGGTGAGGCCTATAGTCAGTGTTTTTAGCCACATGTCCTGACCCACCTCTGGCTTTGTCCAGGCAGTGTGTTGGCATCTACTCCCTGTCCTTGCCCTCCCAGCCTCACGGCCATTAGAGGTGCCTGCTGCCACACCCTGGCTGGGTACTGCCTCCTTGGGTGATGTCACAGAGCAAGTCCACTTTTATAATGCCATGTGGCCACCCTTACTGCTGACATCGTGTTGTCTCCATCAGGGTTAACTAGCCCTGAAGCACAATCAGTCTCCCGGACTGTGTCATTGATCCCCACTGGCAGCACCCTACCACTGAGTTGCTGTATGCCAAGTTATGGCCCCCAACGCCTGTGTAAGTAATGACCACTGAGACTGGCCTCCTGTACCCTCTATTGGTAAGGCTATGAGCAGAAGCTCACCTGAGTAGTACTGGATGGGAATCTAAAATTTTACTAGTCCATGTTTGTAACTTTAGTTAGATACCCAAAGACCAGGAATCCAGAGCATTTCTAGACTGACTATTGGCAGCCAGGATTTATTTTGCTGCTCCCCTGCATGGGTTCTGCAAAGAATCCAGTGGCCCTTGGCCTTTCTTAAGTTTGCCACTTGCCCTTGAGAGCCTGGAGATTAGTACCGAGACGTAACTGCACAGAAAACTGTCCCCTGCTGCCTGTTCAGGTGGAGGGCAGCTCTCTGCACAGCGCTGGTGGTTATTACTTAGGCTATTTATGAGGCATTTCACATTGTGGCCCTGCTCAGTGTTCCTCCTACTCATATATTAACTTTGCCTTTAATGTGTCCATGAGACTGGATCGGTGTGGGCTCACAGAATAGAGCTCTGGACTTCAGTCTCCGACTTCTCTGGGACCGGCAATTCAACAGCTCTTGAACTCAAATTTCCCTCGTCTGTAAAAGAAAGGTGACAGTATGCATCGTGACTATTTTATGAAGTTAAGACACCCAAATTTGAAACCACTTTAAGTAGCACCATGTGAGTAGATGGCTACTACAGCTAGGCTATTTATCTATGGTAGGAAAGGCCCCTGACCATAACAATGCCAAGAGAGATGAACATTCATGTTATTGACAAACATCCTCCAGGATGTGCATTCATCTCTATTGCTGGGAGTTTCTCCTTTATTTATATTTGAAATCAGTCGTTGTGTAGTTTAAAGTTGTTTCCCTACTTTTTTCTTCAGAGAGCAGCTGTTCAACCTGCATCATTTGTCCAGTCAGCAGAGCTCTGAATCATGTTGAATTCCTCTTTCTTCTTTGCTCTGTAAATGCTACCTGGTGCAAATGCTGTAAATATGAAATTACCAGTAATAACACAGCCGAGGAGCAACTGTGCATTCTTCCTGTGGCTGAAGAGGATGAAAGACAACTTCCTGCATAATCTACATTCTTGACTTTTTATGCTTCGCCTAGTTTTCTTTTTCTCTTTTGGATAATTGTTCCTTTTCCTTGGCTTTGGGAATCACTAGGGAAGGAACAGAGTCTGACAGCCCTCCCCGCTGCCTCTTGTCCGTTGCCTGAAGTTGGAGCTGCTCACTGGGGCTCCAACTGCGTTTTCTCAGAATGCTTCCCTCAGGTGTGCAGACTGTCTGTCTTGGGGCCCCAACGGCTCCCTTGTGACAGCACTTTAGCAGCCTGGTTTCCCTGGGTGGCTGTCCCCCTGGGATGCATCTGCAGTGCCACCACTTGAGGCATGGCAGTCATTCCCTTAAAACCTAATTGAGAGGAAAATGACAACAAGGGAGAAGAAAACCCAGACTTGGGAATGAGGGAAGGTTTTATCAATGTGATTCTACTTTCTTTTTGCATTTCAGGAAGACCCACACCCACCCACTCCCCTTTTCTCTTCCTGTACATTGGAATTTTCTCCTCTGTGCTTTTGTTGTGAAGCTCGCTGTTTTCTCTCTCCTCTGGTAGGTCAGCAAAACCGGTGCCGAGGGAGCTGTTCTCGACGAAGCTAAAAATATCAATAAGTCTTTGTCTGCTCTTGGAAATGTGATCTCTGCTTTGGCAGAAGGGACAGTAAGTGATCTTGTGTCTATGAAGTGATAATATGGGAAGTCATTTTTTTGGCTCCATGTATACTCTCGGGGCCACATCCCCTGAGATTTCTTTGCTGTAGTTTGGACAGAGACAGAGGGAACGCTGACCGTGGACTCCTCACTGGGAGATCCAGTCCAATAAAATGTGTGGATGGTGATGCTAATTTCCTATGACTCGGGCCTCAGATTGGACATTCTGAACTTTGGCAAGATCTAACGGCTGGGCAGCAGGTTTTTATTTCACACGCGTGTCTAAGCCCCATGTGTCCTGCACTGGCTTGCATCTGCTGCTTCTCTAAATGGGCTGTAACAGGCAACACTCTTTCTTTTCTTAAATAGAAAACACACGTGCCATACCGGGACAGCAAGATGACTCGGATTCTTCAGGACTCTCTGGGTGGGAACTGTAGAACCACCATTGTTATATGTTGTTCTCCGTCTGTCTTCAATGAAGCCGAGACTAAGTCAACGCTGATGTTTGGGCAAAGGTGGGTGAGGCTCTCGTTCCCAAGCGCTGTGCCTTGCTCAGGGGTGGGGAGCCAGTCTCAGAAAGGAACGGAGTGATGAGGGGGCAAGGTGACTAAATTTCAGTTTACAGGGCATCTGTGAACCTGAAGCATTGTTTTTTGAGGCCTAAGGAATAATTATGTGTTGCAGTCATGGGCAGGAATGTGTGAATCAAAGATATGATTGTAAACAAACAAAATTCCCACTTAAACATGCAGATGTAATAGTCATTCCATGGAGTGTAACTTTTGTTTCTCATGGAATCAAGTCTTAGTTCCAGTTAGGTTCACTGGAATTCAAGTGTGTAAACCTCAAGATGGTTAACTAGTTGGATCCATTGTAGAGTTGTAGTAAACACAGCAACAGATGACTGTAAAATAGTGGCATAAATGGAAAACAGAATTGGTGAGAAAACCTAAAATTAACCCCTGGGTGGAAGGTACAGAATCAGGTTGGAGAAAAGGAAAGGGGGCAGCCATCTTACTTTCAAAAAGTCCAAATGAGAGTTCCTAGGTTTTCCAAAGTATTAATATGTAGGCAACAGGGACAACTCTGTAATCTTCAAACAACATTCACATGTAGGATAGTTTAGGCCTTCCTTTCTCACCACCCTCCCCATCACACAAGGCCTAACCTTCAATCGCACCCCCTTAATCTTAAGTGTGTAGCCCCACACCCACAGTGCAGCACCTCAGGGGCCCCTTCTGGAGTGGTCAGGCTGATGTGGCTTTGGGTGCACTGGACATCCTCATAGCTCAATGGACTGAACCGGGACCTGAGGGGGAGATGTGGCTTTGGGTGCACTGGACATCCTCATAGCTCAATGGACTGAACCGGGACCTGAGGGGGAGATGTGGCTTTGGGTGCACTGGACATCCTCATAGCTCAATGGACTGAACCGGGACCTGAGGGGGAGATAGAGACTCTACTGCTATTATTCCCTTCACTTCCCAGTAATCTTTGCGGTCTTTAGATAAGTTACCCATTCTTTGTGGGTTTTGGCTGCTTTGTTTCTAAACAGATGCACAGAATGGTGTTTCTGCTTTCTTCCCTGGATTGTGCTGTGTGGTTATGCCTGACAAATAGTTTAGGTGCTGAGAGAAAGGACAGATGGGTGTGGGCATTCTGTATCAAAAATTGTTATGGCTTGTTTAAATTGTATTAAATCCCAGTCATTTCCTGAGTCCCCAAGAGAACATAGAATTACACAGTCATGGCAGCTGTGGGATGTATAAGTAAATAATACTATGTTGAAATGCTGTAGGACTAATATATCTTTTAAACTGAATTCTAGTTCATTACTTCCTCTCAAATCACTTCCCTGATTAGCCACATGCTTAGGACAGTGGGTGACACTGTATACACCCATTTGTCTCAGGGTCATGGGCTTATCAAGTCTCTGCTTATGGGAAACACAGAGGTCCATAGTGATCATCCTCCTGGCCCTGGCTCCCCATTATGGTCACCCTTGCGTTCTTAAATTTTGGCTTTAGTCCTCTCTGGTGGTGCAGTGGGTTAAAGTGCAGCACTGCAAGCTAGTTATAGCTGCTTCAGTGTGAGTTTGATCCCCAGCCCCAGAGGTGACCCACATGGCACAGCAGACCTCTTCTGTCTCTCTGCTGCTCCCCTCAGCAGTGTACTTTGTTGATCTGCCTGTTCTGCTCCCATTCTGTCTCTGGTGAAGCCTCTCACCCCTCCTACCCCTCTGGCCTGTACCCCAGTTCTATATGCATAAATAAATAAATAAATATTTTTTTAAAATTTCAGCTTTAACAATTTCCTCTGAAGGCAGGTTAGTGTAAACTAACACTAAATGCATTTATAAAGGAAATATTTCTTAAACAAATATTCTTACCTGCAAAGCAAAAATAATCTGAACGTTTGCAGCCAGAGTCATCATTGGGCATTGGGTTTTCCGTGTCAAGATTGCCACTTCAGTGGGTATTTATAGCTGTATATACGGAGAGTTTTAGGTGTAAGACCAAACGGTTATTTATTTCTGATCTTAGCGAGGCCATCAGTTGCAGTGTCATTACCACTAGAACTTTAAGTGCCTAGCATGTGGCAAAATCTTCATAGCAAGTCTACCAGCTAGACATTATTTCCTCTTTGTAAAGAGGATGAAATTGAGGCTTAAGCTTAAAACCATTAGCTACCATATCTGAGACTCCAGAAACCAGTAAGTTACTAAGCCTGTGGGCTGCTATGGGATGGAGAGATTGTATTTGACTTTTGGCATCTTAACATGTGGCTGCTTGTTCAGAAACACAGAGCTCTGTAATCAGTAACTCCAGTTTTTAGGTAAAAGTTCTGCTAGTGACCCATTCTCTCATTTACCTCTCTCTCTCTGACCCTCAGCATCCTCACATGAAGGAAGAGTTATAGTAATGCTGTATTACTATAGGTCCAAGAATTATGGGGGTAAATGAGTGCTTCTGTTTTTACTTCAGATGAGGGCTGGCATGTAATAGGTGGTCAGTAATTCTAAGCTCCCCTTCTGCTTTAACAGTGTTCAACAATCAGACATCTAGAAGCATGAGAAAGTCACATAAATGGGTGGCACTGGACTGAATATAATGTAATTTAAGAAACAGGAGTATAGTATAAAGGACAGGGCCCAGTGAAGTAGAGTTAGAATTAAGTTTCTAGAATGAACAGTAAAGAAATACAGCTGATAATTTGGGATTCCATGAAATAAAATATGTCAATTATATTTTCAAGTGAACTAGGTTGGTCTACTGTCTATCTGTCACCTGGTTACTGGGCTCCATGAGCTCGCGGACTGGGTTCACGACTGGGTTCTCTCAAACACCCAATACAACCCATGAGCATTCGGTGGCCAACAAATAACTGCTTCTCAAGTAAACAAACAGATGTATCTAAAGCTTCATATGTAGGCTTCTTTGGCGCATTAGAACAGCTGCTCAACTGTGACACCGTTATGTACAGAAGTTTGCTTGGTTAGAACAGGTTTGTTTTCCAGTCAATAATTAGGAATATGTGAGGTTTTGTCCCCTTCCCTTTGTCCCTTAGTTAGTTAATGGATTCTTCAAGGACATTTAACCTCTCTACAGGGCCACTACCTACTTTATTGTTAAATATACGCATTGAACCCAATTACACAGCAGACACAAGTCTGAACATCGGATTAGACATGGTATCTGATAGCTAATGAGATTAAGCACTTTGAACTCAGAAAAGACTGCCAGGCACATCCCAAATTCAGTGTAATGAGTGTTCATTATATTCTTGTTGCAGAGGTGGCTGGACCTCAGGGCAGCGTGAGGTTTCTCAGTTATTCCTACGTGATTCTTTCACAGACATGAAGGAAGTCTGTGTTTGTTGCTAGGCTATACTGGATCGATGTGCTGAATAAAATAATAATATGTTCTTTGAAGCAGTAGAAACTTGATAGTCTGCAGGTGCCTGAGGGCAGCCTCCCAAGTCAGCATGCATCAGGATTCTGGATGAGGTACTAGAATTTAAAGGAGAAACATCCCCATGTCTGTTTTTTGGTTTCAGTGAATTTGGGCTTTACTTTTAAGTCAGGCCTGTTTTCCTCAGTCCCCTGAATGCCCAGCATTGTGCTAGCAAAAAAGCCAAAGCCATCTGTAGTGTTCTCAAAGGTCTTTGAATTTAGTGAGGAGGTAACTCCTTCAGACAGCAGAGACAAAAAGCTGAACTCTGGGCAAACAGATACCACTTCCTGCTGTTCAGGCCTAGGCCCTCAAAATTAGAGCTTATTCATTACTTTTTTCCCCTCTTGGCTTTGAGTACTTACCTTTTTTAGTTTTTAATTATTCTATAGCACTCTTCATAAAGGAGTTTTTATAAGTGTTAGAAGTGTGAATTCAAATCACCCAACTATCTTGGAAGCCTGTTTAATGGACCTCGATCTGAGGTGGTAATGGGGAAACGGGAGCACTGAGCACAGACCAGTCAGGTCAGAAGAGGCCTGAATCAGCCCACCTTTGCCACCGAAGGTTTGGGTTGATCCATCAGAAATAATTCGGAGGCTTTATTTGTATGTTGAATGTGGAAGGGAAATTGTCAATTTAGGGAATGTATGTCTTTTCCTGATGTGCACTTGAAAAAAAAAAAACAAACACACCGTCCAGTGGTCAGTTCATGTGGCACCTGGATTAGGCAATGCCTGAGTGCTGAGTCTACAAATTTATGTCACTGGAGTATTTTAACAAGTTACCTGCAAGGTACAAGTGAATGTTTTAGCCAAGGGAGATGCTTGCCTACTCTTCTGAGGAGTCTTCTCACCTTCTGAGGAGAAAGACACAAATCATCCCTGTAGGAAGGCCTGTGACTAGAATACCAAGAGAGTTAATTTTTGCTTTTGGGGGGAGAAATGTACTGTGGTTAACATTTACCATCAGTTGACTTTGAGTTAATTGACATATCTCCATAATAGGAGTAGGCCTCATCCAATCAGTTGAAGGCCTTAAAAGAGCAAAATCTGAGGTCACCTGGAGAAGAAATTCTACCTCAAGATTGCAGCATTAGTTCGTGCTGAGTTTTTAGCCTGCTGTCCTGCTCAAGGTTTCACACTTGCCAGTCCCTGTTCATATAAGCAAATTTCTCTAGATAAATAAATGAAAGAGTGTGCATACATATACATATGTCCGTGTGTGTATACTCTCCATCCATATGTGTATTCTCCATAGACAAGTCCCATCGGTTCTGTTTCCCCTTAGACCCTGTTGAGCAGGACCTTGTTGGGCTGTGTATGCTAGCCCATGGTGGGAGGCCCTGGGTCTCTCCCTTATTCTCACAGCATCTGCAGTACAGAGCACACAGCACAGAAGGTGTGGGACTGGCTTGGCTCTTCGTTCAAAGGCTGGGACAGCAGCCCTCCTCCCTTTCTCCATGGTGTCACTTTTTGTGATTTCAGTTTCCTGTGATCAACTGTGGTCTGAAAATATTATGTCCAATCAGATATTTTGAGAGAGAAAGAAACCACTTTCAGTAA